AGGGTCCTGGCAGGCTGGGGTTCGGGGCGGGGCCTGGACTAGGATGAGAGGCGCGAGGCTGGCTGGGCCACGGTTCAGGGCGGGGCAGGGGCGGGGCCTGGACCCGGCGAGGGGCATGGGGCGGGGCGTGGGTTGCGGCGCGCGAGCCGAGCGGCCGGCCGAGGCCCGAGCCCACCCGAGTGCGCCCGAGCCCGCGGCCCCCGCCCCAGGCGATGGAGCCAGAACCCGGCGGGGCGGCGGCTGAGCTCCTGCGGCAGAAGAGGGCGGCGCTGCGGCGCAGGGGGTGCTCCTTCGAGAGCCCAAGGTACTGCGGCCGGGGAGGGCTGCGGCCGGGCGGGGCGCCGGCCACGTGGGGGGATGGAGACGTGAAGGGACAGCGGTGCGAGGCGAGGCGTGGGAAGGGTCGGCGGAGGCTCTGAGGAGACCGGACGCGGAGTTCGGGCCGAGCGGCAGTGGGCTGTGGGAGGGGCCGGGCGGTCGGGTGGGACCGGTGTCAGGCGTCCAGAAGCGTCGGTCCTGTGGCAGGCCCCGCGTGCCCGCGGCTTCGGCGGGGCACGGGCTGAGAAGAACGTGCCCTGCCCGCCTCTGGTAAATGCTCAAGGGCAAGGTCGAGATCGGTCCACTGGAGGCTTCCTTCCTGGGCCCCGACTGCCCCGGCAGCTGCACACCTGCGGCCTCCGCGCTCCGGCCCGGCTTGGCCCCCACTCCCCTCTCCCTCGCGATGCCGCCCTCTGCCAGGGGCCGCCGGTGCCCCTCGGCTGGTCTTTCCCCGGGGCCTCTCCCGGGACGACCACCGCCTGGCTCCGAGCCTGGCCCCACAGACAGGCCCCACACTCCCCGCTGCGGCGAGTGCCCTCCCTCGGCTTCCCTGGCATTCCTTGAACTTGGAGCTGATTCTCCTGCTTCGAAGTCGCTCAAGTCGGCCCTACCATTTTCTCAGGTCTTGGAGGTTTCTCCAGCAGCTTCTCAGCCACACTTCTATCTCTGTTCTGACACCTCTGAAATCCACACCCCAGCCGGCCGCGGCAGGGGTTTCCCTAAAGTGGTGACTGTGCCCTTCGCGGGCAGCACCCCTTGAAGAGCTCCCCATCGCCCGCAGCTGTGGTAGGGACCAGAGCGGGGGACTGGGAGAGAGAGAAGGATGGGGACTCCGGCTCCAAACTGAGGCCAAAAAGAGGGGTCCATTGCTAGGATAAGAAGCAAACTAACCAGGATCCTTAAGATGAGGTGCGGGGTCCTTGACTTGGGCTTTTCCCTCCATCCTCAGTTCTTGACATTCCCTGCCTCACCCTTGGCACTCCAGCAGTACTGGTGAGCCTGGCATATAAGCATCGTGGGGACAGGAACCAGAGCTCTCCTGGTCACTGCTGGCTCACAGTGACCTGTCCTGGTCACTGTCCTGGTCACAGTGCCCAGAGCTGGCTCAGGCCTGGCCCATGGGACATCAACTGTGTTTTGAATGAATCAGTGTCTAACCCGCTAGTTTTAACTCCCTTGCCCTGTCCTGTTTCTCATCTGTTCCCTTTTTCATATCACATTCTTTTCTCTACTTAGAATATTCTTTCTTTTCCTCTGTATGCGCCCACCCCTCCTTCTTCGGAAGTCTTCCTTGAACCCTAGATTGAGCTCTTTGCTGTATCAATAATCTGTGCACCTGTCTTCGAGTCCACATAACACTGTGTGTAGTTACCCAGGTAGTATGTCTCCCCCAATAGACTGGGAGAACCAGCCAGATATGATATCTGTTCTCGTGGTGCTTACACGCTTATTGTTAGAGCATGAAGGATGTGAGAAATTGAACCAAGACAAGATGGAACCTGGATCCCTCAGGCCTGAAGTGGAATGCATGGAGCAGCGCTGTTCCATGGAATTTTGTGAAATGATGGAAACCCTCTGTAATCCATGCTATCTGTTATGGTAGCTACTAGCCATCTATGACCATGGAGCACTTGTAAGGTGGCTAGTTGAACTAAGGAACTGAATTTTACATTTTATGTAGCTTTAATTAATTTAAATAACCGCCTAGGACTAAAGTCTGTTACATTGGGCAGTGCCAGTTTAGAAAACGTTTCTCTTTCTTTGAATTCTCACATTTATTACCCTCTCCTTTGTCTTCATAACCTTGCACCTGAAAGACTAGTGCCTTCCTGGCTTCCAGAGTTTTCCTGTTCTCTTCTTGGTTCTCCATGACATTATCTTATCAGCTGTTGGATAACAATGATTACCATTTTTTCTTACTGTAAAACTAATGTGGGCCAGGTGCGGTGGCTCGTGCCTGTAATCTCAGCACTTTGGGAGGCTGACCTACCTGGATCATTTGAGGTCTGGAGTTCGAGACCAGCTGGACCAAAGTGGTGAGATTCCATCTCTACTAAAAATATAAAAATTAGCCAGATATGGTAGGCACCTGTAATCCCAACTCCTAGGAGGCTGAGGTAGGAGAATCACTTGAACCCAGGAGGCAGAGGTTGTAGTGAGCTGAGATTGTGCCACTGCACTCCAGCATGGGCAACAGAGTGAGATTGTCTCAAAAAAAAAAAATCTGTGGCCTGGCACAGTGCCTCACACCTGTAATCTCAGTACATTGGGAGGCTGAGGCAAGAGGATCACTTGAGGTCTCAGGAGTTCGAGACTAGCCTGGGCTACGTAGCAAAACCCATCCCTACAAAAAATTAAAGAAATTATCCAAGTATGGTGGCACATGTGTGTAGTCTCAGCTACTCTGGAGGCTGAGTCAGGAGGATCACTCGAGCCCAGGAGTTTGAGGTTACAGTGAGCAGTGATTGTACCACTGCACATCAGTCTGGGCAACAGAGCAAGACCCTATCTCAATAAAATAAAATAAAATAAAACAATTTGTGTTTTTGAGAAGAAATCTGAAAAATCAAGAAAAATATAAAGAGGATAATTAAATTTTTATTTACCCATAATACCACTAGGTATCAGCTAGCCTTTTTTCTTAACTGTGTATGTGTATATTTATATTAATGTTTAATTTGCTTTTCCACCTAATGTAGTGTAAGGATTTCCATAACTCTTAAATATTTCTGAAATCTATTTTAAATTGCTGCCTGGTATACTGTCATATGGATATATTGCCATGTCTTTATTGGACGCATGTAGTTTACTCACAGTTTTTCATTCTTACTAAAGGTGCATTTGTGGGTTTTTTTTTTTTTTTTTNTGATCTATGGCTATTTTCTTTTCTTTTAAGCCTATGCAATTAATTGGAAAAACATACTGTTTTTTTTAATCCAGCATTTATATATATATATGTATATATATATATATATTTAAATTGTACTTTAGGTTCTGGGGTATATGTGCAGATCATGCAGGATTATTGCATAGGTACATACATGGCAATGTGGCTTGCTGCCGCCATCCCCTGTCATCTATATCTGGCATTTCTCCCCATGTTATCCCTCCCTAACCTCCCCACCCCTGCTGTTCCTCCCCTAGCCCACCCCCAACAGACACCAGTGAGTGATGCTCCCCTCCCTGTGTCCATGTGTTCTTATTGTTTAACACCCACCTATGAGTGAGAACATGCGGTGTTTGATTTTCTTTTCTTATGTCAGTTTGCTGAGAATGATGGTTTCCAGATTCATCCATGTCCCTACAAAGGACACAAACTCAAGATGCATTTTTTTAGGTATGAAGAGGTTCTCTTTTATAAAGAGTTCATCCTGAATTTGTAGAAGTGATGGGAGTTATTGGATCAAAGAAAATGAACATTTTAAAGCCTTTCAAAGCATAAAGCTAAATTCCTCACCAGAGAGTTGTACCAATTTATAGTCCTCCAATAGCATATGAGTATGCCTGTTTTTTCCCATCCTTAACACTAGGCATTATCATTCGCAAATATTTGCCAAAGTGGTAGCTTGTTTTAATTTGAATTTCTTTGTTTCATAGTGAGGTGAAACTTTTTATCATATCCATAATTTATACTTATTTTTGTGAAATATAGATTCATACACTTTGTTTTCCTTTGGAATGCTTATGCTTTCCTTATTGAATTGAAACACTTTTTATTTATTAAGGAAATTAATTGTTTGGGTCAAATATGTAGCAAATATTTTTTCCAGTTCATTATTTGCCTCTTTATTTTCTTTATGGTGGTTTTTGATAAAGCTTTTTAAAATTGTGGTGGTTGTTTTAAAATTATGTAGTTAGATCTTCTTCCTGTTTATACTTTTTTGTTTTGTGTGTGTGGTGTTCTTTTTTGTTTGTTTGTTTGTTTTTTTGAGTTGGAGTCTTGCTCTGTCACTCAGGCTGGAATGCAGTGGCTCAGTCTCTGCTCACTGCAGCCTCCACCTCCTGGGTTCAAGCAGTTCTTCTGCATCAGCCTCGAGTAGCTGGGACTACAGGCGTGTGCTACTACGCCTGGCTGATTTTTGTATTTTTTAGTAGAAACAGGGTTTCACCATGATGACCAGGCTGGTGTTGAACTCCTGGCCTCAAGTGATCTGCCTGCCTCAGCCTCCCAAAGTACTGGGATTACAGGCATGAGACATCATGCTCGGCACTGTTTGTGCTTAAGTACAAGTGAATTCCTTAACTTAAAACAGATAAATATTCATCTATACCTTCTCCCCTTATTTTTGTTGCTTAAAAAAACTGCCTCCCTAATCCATTAATCCAGATTACCTCACAACCCTGACTGTGTGTCAGAATCACCTGTGGACCATCTTAGCCATACAGGTGCATGTGGGTGCTCCTGCTCCATGCCTGTTGATTGATTCAGAAAGTCTAGGGTGGCACTGGGCCTGTGGATGTTAAGAAAGCTCTGCAGGTGCTTCAGAAGAGGCAACGCATCTGCCTCAATTATGGGACTGTTGCCAGATTAGTCTCCTTTATCCAGAGTCCTTAACTTCTCATTTCCTGTTATATCAATTTTTATTCATTTATTTTTGAGACAGGGTCTCACTCTATTTCCCAGGGTGGAGTGTAGTGGCAGTTATAGCTCAGTGCAGCCTTGAGTTCCTGGACTCAAGCAGTTCTTCAACCCCCCGCCTCCCGAGTAGCTGAGACTACAGGTGAGTGCCACCATGCCTAGCTAATTTTTAAAATTTTGTATAGAGACTTGGTCTCACTTTGTTTCCCAGGCTGATCTCAAACTCCTGGCCTCAAGCTATTCTCCTGCCTCAGCTTCCCAAAGTGCTGGGCTACAGGTCTGAGCTATCACATCCAGCAGTTTAAATGCCTCATGTTTAGGGCCTTTCTGAATCGGTTTAGCCATATTTACCTAAGCATCTTGTTGGCATCAGGGAAGAAAGGACTTATTTTCACTTTAGCAACTCTACTGGCTAAATATCTCTGAAAACTAGCCTGCGGACTGAGCAAACTGATGTAGAGGTGAAGGGAATAGCCCAAGCATTAGGCCTCCAGGGAGGGACAGTGAGATACTAGCTGGGAAACCTAGAGGCAGTAGAATAAGACACTTAGGCTTTTAAACCACTTGCCCTAGATGTGTTTACTATCATTTTGTAGGAAGCACATCAGATAGTGTTCAAGAACAAGGGCTTTGGAGTGAGACAGACTTGGGTTTAAGTTTCTGTCTTTTCACTCACTACATGTGAACTTAGACAAGTTGCATAATCCCTCTGAGCCTTGGTTAACTCCTTTATAAAATGACCTGCCTCCAAGTATTCCTGTCAGCTTTTGGTGAACTAATTTATGCAAAGTGCTAAAAACAGTGCCTGGCACAAAGCTTTAGTAAATGATAACTGCTCTGGACAAAAATGACAAACATTCACATAAAAGTTCTCAACCCTTTCCTCCCCTTGCCTGATTGAAACTTTAGCTTTGCCCATTCAGTTTTTCCTCCTCCCCTGCCCTCAGAACAAGGTTCTGCTTTGCTTTGTTGCATTTTTGAGCTGCAGATTTAGGAAGAGAAGGAGTGAGGAGAAGGACAATAGGGACCTAGGGCAGTGGTTAGGATTCACTGAGCAAAATTTTTAGGGTTGTTGAGAGGTGAGACATACAGGAAAACCTACTTTGTGTGAGGGAGGCTAATACAGGCAAATGATATTTTAAGACATTTATCTGTTATCTTTTGTCCCTTTGTGGTGATCAAGAAATTGATGAAAAAAATTAGTGTTATAAATGGGTAGTGGGATCATAAATTTTATTTATTTTCTTCTTTACTCTTTTCCATGCTTTCCAAAGTTTTTACAATGAGCATAATTACTTTTATAAGACGATGAAAATCTTTAGTAAAAGTAGCTTATTTACCAAAAAGAAAAAAAAAAAAAAAGAAATTGATGAACCAGAGTTATTTTAAATTGTTTTCTATTGTTGAGTTGTTCATTTTGGGTGCAGAATTTCATGGAGGCCAAACCACATGTGAGCTACAACATGAACAGGGTTATATAGTAGGATTGAATTTGTGAGGTAAATCCTGAAAATCAGCTAATCTCAACTTTGAATGGAACTTTAGACATCACCTAGGTCAGCTGCTCAGACAGTGCTTCTCAAAGTGTAGTCCCTGGACCAGCAGCATAGCATTCCCTAAGAATTTGTTAGAAATACAAATTCTCAAGCCTCACTCCAAATCTTAGTTGGAATCTGTGGAATGGGGCTCACGAAACTGGGTCAGATTGCTAGTACAGTGGTTCTCAAACAGAACATATAGGAGGAGGGCTTCTTAAAACCCAGTTACTTGGGCCCCACCCCCAGAGATTCTGATTCACAAGGTCATCAGTGGGTTATATGAATCTGTGTTTCTAACAAGCTCCTAAGTAATGCCATATTACTGGCCCAAGGACATAAAATACTTCAAAAACTAACCCTCCAGGTAATACCGGAATCCTTCCTGCAGCAACCTTTGTAGTTGATCATCCATTTTCTGTTTCTTACATCTAAGGTCCAGGAGTCTACCACTTCATAAAGCAAGCCTTTTTAGTATTGAGCAGCTGCATTATCTTTCCCGAAGAGTGAAGTCAAAGCTTGCCTCGTTATTCTTGCCACTCATTACTCATGATTCTCTCATGGCCACTTGCAGTACCAGTACTTATAGGGCTGATTCCAGGTGTCTCCTCAATCCTCAGGTGGCTGTTACCCAGTTGTAATCACCATTTAACACTTCTCTTTCAGCTACTGAAGCAGGTCTAGTAACACATCAACATCCTTTCTGTTTGTCTTTTTTAAAAGACAGAGGTTTACTGTGTTGCCCAGTCTGGAGTACAGTGGCATGATCATAGCTCACTACAGCTGTGAACTCCTGGGCTCGGTGATCCTCCTGCCTTGGCCTCCTGAGTAGCTAGGATTACAGGTATGCACAACTACTCTTGGCTAATTTTTAAATTTTTTTGTAGAGATGAGGTCTTCCTGTGTTGCCCAGGCTGGCCTCAAACTCCTAGGCTCAAGTGGTCCTTCCATCTTGGCTTCTCGAAGCACTGGAACTACAGGCGCAAGGCACCATGCCCAGCCTGCATTGGCACCTTTTCTGATTGGCTGATAACAGTGCCTTACCAGTAGTTAAATTTTTCTTTTAATATTGTCAAAAGCTATGAATGACAAGCAAAGGACAATTATTGGTTCCTGCAATTGTAAAATGCTGGGGTAGACCAAGCATTGGGAAAAGATGGCTCCAGGTGCTTAAATAATCCCATTAGTAGTCTTCATCTTCTGGATTGGCTTTATTCTCAAGGCCTTTCCTCACTGAGGCAAAGAAAGTTAACTACTCCAGACTTACTTTCAATGTATGATCTCAGCAGAAATATAGGGCTGCTTTCTCAATGATTCTAGCACATGACTTGGCACAGTGGCTCATGTCTGTAATCCCAAAATTTTGAGAGGCTAAGGCAGGAGAATAGCTTGAGCTCAGGAGTTTGAGACCACCCTGAGCAACATAGTGAGACCCCCATCTCTAAAAAACAAAACAAAGCATTAGGCATGGTGGCATGCTTGCAGTCCCAGCTACTCAGGGAGGCTGAGGTGTGAGGTGGGCAGATCATTTGAGTCCAGGATGTCAAGGTTGCAGTGAGTCATGATTGTACCACTGGATGCTGGCCTGAGTGACAGAGCAAGACCTTGTCTCAAAAGAAAATAAAAAATAAAAATTAGTTGGGCATGGTGTTGCATGCCTGTAGTCCCAGCTACTCAGGGGGCTGAGATGAGAGGATCACTAGAGTAGGAGCTCGAGGCTACAGTGAGCCAAGATCATGCCACTGCACTCCAGCCTGGGTGACAGAGTGAGACCTTATTTCTTAAAATAACAATAACAATAATAATGCTAGCACATGTCCCTTAGCTGATATTCATTGGCTCTCTTGGGTTCTATGGTCATCCTTGAACCAATTGCTTTGGCTAGAAGGGGGTAAAACGTACTAATTGGCTGGGCCTGGTCACGTGCTGAAATATTCCATTCATAGAGACCAAGAAGTACCAGTTTCTCAAAGGAAAACCACAGTGCTATTACCAGAAGAAGGGAATTGATATTGGGTTGGCAAAAAAAAAGAAAAGTTATGATGCAGACATGATGCTTTTCCAAAAGGTAGATACCCAGATGCCACCTAGGGTCACAGAATTAGGGTTTCTGTATTTTTTTTAGTTTTCGTTGTAAAAGACTGCCTTAGTTAAGTGGTTAAAGTATGCTTGCTAAGTTTAGCCACTGTGGGTGCAGAGCCCTACTGTGGACAGAAGATTTTGAATTACAAATGGAAAACATATTTTCTACTTTCCCAAATATTACTCCGTACATGGTGGTTTTCTTATTAGTAATGCATAGAACCCACGGCTTGTGAGAACAAATTTGATGCCAAGACAAATGCTTTCTTGCTCCTGAATATTGCTTTCCAGGCCAAGGTAAGTTCAGAAAAGAGCAGTTATCCATTATGCATTGGGGTGCCTCCTTTTCTTCTTCCTTATGTTTTTTGGGACTCTTAGAGTTTTGTTGTTGTTGTAGTTTTCCAGACTTTCTTTTTTCCAGATAGTTTTGTAAAGTATTTTAATGTGAGCTTTTTTTCACAGTCTTTATTCCTCTGTGTTATGTTATTACTCTTTCTGTTTGTATCAGGCCCTTAAGTATTTAATCACAAATAAATCTGCTGCTGTCAGTTTTCTTTTGGAAAAACAGCAGTCTTCTTGGGAAAGACTATTAAAAGCTGTTCTGTATTGGGCTGACATAATGGGCTCTTAGGGCCAGCAGAAGAAAATTAATTTTCATATTATGCCTGTTTCCTAAGAGCATAGAAAAAAACAACTTTTATTATTCTCTAAGATTTTAAATTAATGCAAACCAACTTTGTTTATTGGAGAAAAGGAACAGAGAAAAAACAACTTTTATTATTCTCTAAGATTTTAAATTAATGCAAACCAGCTTCCTTTATTGGAGGAAAACAATAGTCAAATTAGTTTTGCTTTAGAAAGTTAATATGAGAAATTATGTTTGGTTGTCTGGTTTCCAGAGTTAAAGATCTGAAGAGAGATGAAGTCTGACAAACAGTGCTGTAGGAAAATTATAAAAGATTTGTCCTTTGCAGTGAGACTCCTGGCTGGTTTTCCTGGGAGGAGAAATTCTAAAGCAGCATGCAGATATACACAGAGGCAGAGTGTAGAGATGTGGGAAAATAGAAACCCCACGTCCAGTTGTGTCTAGAGCTAGGATCTTAGAGGACAGTAAGCAAGTATGAGTTTGCAATGAGGTGTGACTGCCCAAAGAGATTTATGAAGAAGGATATTCACTGTAGTCTTGCTTGTTGTCTTAGTCCATTTGGGCTGCTAAGACAAAATCCTGTAGACTGAGTAATTTATAAACAACAGAAATTTATCGTTCACACTTCTGGAGGCTGGAAAGTCCAAGATTAAAGTGCCAGCATATTTGGTTTCTGGTGAGGGCCTGTTATAACGGCCTTTGTGTCCTCACGTGGTAGAAGGGGTGAATAAGCTCTCTTGGGAATCTAAGGACACAAAAGGACACATTCATGAGAGCTGAGCCCTCATGTCCTGATTGCCGCCCATACGCCCCACCTCTTAATACTATCACATTGAATATTGTGAATATATGAATTTGAACATATGAATTTTGAAGGGAAACAAACATTAGACCATAGCACTTATAAAAGTTTTTTTTTAATCCAGCAGAAGTATGTCAATACAATATGAATCATCTGTTAGAAAGATTGCTGTGAATATATATTTCTGCTTGGAAAGGTATCTAGTATATACATACGTGTTAAGAGAAGCAGCTTCTGACAATAGCCAGGTTACAGAATTGGATATGTAATTTTAAATTATCTAGTGGCCAAATTATTGAGACAGTTTACTTTTTTCCCATACTGTCTTCAAAATCTAGTATGCATTTTACATTTATAGCACATCTCACTTCAGGCTAGCCACATTTTAAGTGCTCAGTAGCCACCTGTGGTTGGTGGCTGCCTTAGGACAGAGCAGATTTGGATCCTCAGGTAGGAAATGTTTGAAAGAATGCATCAAGGTTTTTGTTTTGTTTAGCTTTGTTCTTTAATGTGACTGTGAATCACAGTGAAATAGGGAAATGTAAAAATTTTGTGGAAAAAAGGGATATCAGGAGATGTTAGGAACGAGAATCACTACAGAAACTTTATTAGTCAGGAAAGGTAACCTGTGATTTGGTGGACTTCTATTAACTGTTCATATAAATCCCATGTGAAATATAGACTTCAGACTTGAATGTGAAATCATTGTGTCATGGATACATAATGTGATTGACATTTTTTATTTGGGAGAAATAAGATGAGTGTAGTTGGTTTTTTTTAAAAGAAAAACAAAGAGGGAATGATTTTCTGTATCATATGTTAATAGGTCAAACAAAGTGAAGAACTAAGAATTGACCACTGGGTTTAGCATCATTAGTTCATTGGTGGCCTTTGACAAAACTGTTTCTTTGGAACAGTGAGGGTGAAAATCTCACTGGACTGGCTTCAAGAGATAATGAGAGGAGATGACTGGAAACAATGAATATAGCCAACTCTTTGCACAGGTGGAGGGAATGTTAGTTGAAAATTTGATTTTGTTTGTTTTTGTCTGGGTTTTTTAGCTCTTGTTTTATAAAGATGTTTGTATCTGCTAGAAGTGACCCAATAAAGGGAAAAAAATCAATATGGGAGAGTAGTGTTTTACATGAGAAAGAAAATTCATGGAGGTTATGGCAGCTGCCTTACTACAGTCGAAAGGGTTTCGTATACAAAGAAATTAGGCCCACTCAGTATATGGCCCTTGGCTAGACCTAAAATCACAATGTGTATGAGATATGTTAAAATAGGTTGGACTCAGTACCTGAAAGTACATTCCTGCAGTTAGTTTTGCTCCAAGCTAGGATGGTTTACTATGAGGCGCAGTAAAAATGTTTTTATCAAAAATGTCAAAGCACCTATAAGTTACAGTAGTATTTCTCAACTATTTTATTTTTTCTGCATAGTTTTGAATATAATTTTTGGTAACAAACTTGGAAAGACTCAAAACAGTGTTAAGTAGGTCAGCAACAGTGATAACAGAATGACACTCCAGTGTAACAGTGACCTCAGAAGTATTCTCAATTAGTGTGCTGTTAGAAACAGGGTCTCTAGACCTATTGTCTCTAGACCAGACAGTCTGGAACATAGTGGCGTGATCATATCTCACTATAACTTCAAACTTCTGGGCTCAGGTGACCCTCCCACCTCAGCCTTCTAAGTAACTAGGACCAAAAAAAAAATTTTTTTTTTGAGATGGAGTCTGTCACCCAGGCTGGAGTGCAGTGGTGAGATCTTGGCTCACTGCAACCTCTGCCTCTAGGGTTCAAACGGTTCCCCTGCCTCAGCCTCCCGGGTAGCTGGGATTATAGGCACGAGCTACCACGCCTAGCTAATTTTTTGTATTTTTAATAGAGACAGGGTCCATGTTGGCCAGGCTGGTCTCAAACTCCTGACCTCGTGATCCGCCTACCTTGGCCTCCCAAAATGCTAGGATTACAGGCGTGAGCCACCATGCCCAGCCAGGACTAACTTTTTTTACATACAAGGTCTCACTATGTTGCCCTGGCTGGTTGCAAACTCCTGGTCTCAGTTCTCCCTGCCTAAGCCTCCCAAAGTGCTGGGATTACAGATGTGAGTCCCCGCACGATCCTAGTGTGTTACTCCTATGGTTGCCCCTCAACACTTCTTTGCTGCTTGAGCATACCTCGTACTTTGAGCAGGCTCTCTTTTATTCTAAAAGGTAACATTCCTATGTATTCCTGTATAAAAATATGCAGTCTCTTTTTGTTGCCCACTGGAGGTTATTCCATTGCTTCCACCAGAAGAAATTTGTGCCCTGCTCTACACTCTGCACAGGGTCATTTAAATTGTTAAGCTCATAATCCAATCTGACAGACACTGTAAAAGGCCTATCAGTCAGTAATCTGTTGCAGACAACAGAATCCACTCTATCCATTATAAGCAGAAAGGGATTTTGTACTGATCCACAGAATTAAGTGTGTACAAATTTGTTGGAAGGGCTGGAGAGCCAACTTCAGTCTGAGCTCCCAGGACCACTCTGCTCTGTTGTCTTCAGGAAAGGAAAGCTGCTACATCATGACAAGAAGCTAATCAATCAAGAAGCAAGGAGCTGCTGGCACCTTGACTAACTACAGACCCTTGCTGCTGACCCTGCCGGGATCCCCAGAATCACCACTGCTACTTCAGAAAGCTGGAGAATCAAGAAGCTGCTGAGTCTATAACCATGATACCCTGACACTGTCTGCAAAAGCAAAACGATACTTGTATACCCTCTTTTGCACCACTGACTCAGTTCCAAATCAGAGTCTCTCATGAGTGCATCTGACTCGTGGAATCTAAATCACGTCCAGAACTCTAACTGCAAAGGAGTTGAGGACATTTAAGTTTTAGCTTTCCAACTTTTGCAGAGTGGAAGGGTACTGAAGTAGGTATGGAGCAACTCATTCCACAGTATCTGCCATAGACAGTATCTTTCTCTAATAACAAAAATAAATGAGACATATTGATGGAAAGTTGGTCACATACTAGTCAAAGGTTTCCTGTACATGAGTGTGCTGTTGCATAGCTGACATGCCTATGTGGGAACCACCTTATTGGGTGAAGAGGTAAAAATGGGCAATCCAGCCTCAGTTGGGTGAGGTAGACTTTCCAACCATAAGTGTCAGTGATTGCATCATTTCAGCACAAATGGAAGTAAGGACATAAATATCTGTCTTGCATTTTATGACCAGAGAAAAAAGTGTCTTTAGAAGCACTGCCAGCCACTAAGTATTCCCCAGTGTCAGTTCCATAGATCAAGCCAGGTTGATGTTTTGCAGATGGATTGCCTTTGTTCCTGTGCACTTGTCACAGTCCTCACAAAGCAGCTGCCTGTCAGAGACTGGTAAAGCAGTGGAGCAGGTTTCCCATCCGCCTGACTGAAGCCAACAGTGACCTCATTCAAGAAAGGGCCAGATCACCTGACATGTTCTCCCTATGCCAGATGAATATCTTTCTAATGCTTTTGGCATTCACATAGTCATGTATTCATTCAACAGCTATTTGTGGAGCACTGCTATGTTCTAGGTGCTTGGAACACACCGTGAATAAGAGGTTCCTGCCCCCTCATGGAGCTGACATTCTAGTGGAGGGAGATAGACCATGTCCCAGTAAACAAATGCATAGCTAGGATGACTTTTGACAGTGATGAGGGCTATGGAGTAGGAGGTTATAGCATATGAAGAGCGTGTGTGGGAGGGGGCTAGTTTAGATTTGGTGACAGGGAATCTGGTGTCCACTCCTGATTTGTCCACGGACAGCCGGCTGCTTGCTGTAGCCTCCCACTGCCCCAGCTCTGTGGGGGTTGCTGCTCACTTGATGGCTGCATCAGCTCCAACCTCAAAAGTGGATGCTGGTTTGAAGACCTGCAAAGAATGATTTATGCCTGTGTCAAGGTTGTTTTCAGTGAACAATCAGAACAAGGAATGTGCAAAATCAAGGGTGCAAGTGAGTGGGTGTAGCTTCCTGAAGCTTCCCATATTCCCTGTGGGATATAACTGAAGGTCAAGTGATGAGGGTGGTGAAGTGGCTGCCACGTTGAATGAGTCAAAACTGAGATCTTGTCTTTTTTGCTGTAGTGCTGCATTCAAGGGTCTCCCTACTAGCATTTGAGATGCCTCTTGGGCATGGTTGTGTTCTTTCCATGGTCGGTTTCTTTTTTTTTTTTTTTTTTTTTTTTTTTTTGAGAGAGTCTTGCTCTGTC